CAGAAGTGTTGATTAATAAACATGGAGCACTAATCACAAGTAAAACACAAGTGACTTTAAAGAAAATGTAAGTACTTCAAATGGGTCCAAAAATTACTATGTAGTGTGCAGAATGGCTTATTATACCAGATTCCCTCTATGGTAGCAGCACTAATGAAAGAAAATTCCTCCAGTCTTATCTTAACCAAATGGAAGAACCTTGTCAGGAAACCTTTTAAACAACAGTTGGCTATTGGTCTCAATAGAAAATACCTCCATTTTAATGTTTAAAATCCTCATCCTTCTTACAGAAATGTCAGTACACCATGTCCGTGTTCATTTTTCTCATATCAGGTGACAGAAAGCCTACAAAGATTCTAAAGCTTGCCCTTGTAATTCTGAGACAGTATGGAAAGTATCAAGTATGCAATCTGCCTGAAAACTCCACTTTCCCTGGGAAGGAATTCAGCCTGAAGAGCATTTTGAAGATGATGATCAATGATGAACTAACGATGCTTCTACTTTTCTGATCACTGGCTGCCCAGGACTAAAGAAGACATACCACAACCAAAGAACGTAAATAACATAATTAAATATGTACTGGAGCTTTTTTTTTCTTCAATGCTTCTTGAGAATTAAAAGAAAAGACAAACACTTGTGAAGCACAGGGAAATGCAATTTCAAAAAGTTTTTCACATGCTTAATGCACACCCTGTGTGGGCTACAGAAGGTTTTTCAAGAGACACTGTCAATCCTATCACCCAGGAGAACAGGATAAGGCAAAGAAAAGGTTCATAGGAAAGATTTAGAAATGGCTTGACATTACAAGCTTGCCAAAAAACCTGGCTACAAAGCCAGTAATTTACCTTCAACAGGATAAGAAATGGGAAACCAAATTCATTTATAAGGAGACTTAGCCCTGGACTGGTATGTTAACATTTCCTAGATCTCTTCCAGGAGCAGAGGAGAACATTTCAGATAGGTTGCAATTCTCCCCAATTTTCAGTGATTAATACGCTTATTATCAAGTGAATTTTATGTGATAAACTCTGCAGAGCAGGAATCACATCGATTTACATAGTCTGTAAGCTGTGTATGAATTAAGCACACTCTGGAAGTTATAATGGTGCTAATAAGTAGAAAGGTCATGAAAACATGGGTTTATCCAGGTCAAGTAAGACTACCGCCATTTTGATTCTGAAGACTGCATTGTCATGCTTTTCGGTATGCCTGAGTGATTACACCTTCCTCAAGCCAATCTATCTCTGGCTGGAACATGAACTTGTCAATTAGAATTTATCTTAAAATTTTAACCAGGACTTCAGTTCCAAGTACAGACAACGATAATGTCTCATTCTGCTACCACAAATAATTAGAACTATTTTAGGAAAAGACACCTTGTCACTGCAATTCACTAATAGGTAAAATCAGTAGTTTCCATCAACAACTCTTGGGTGGGGGGACCCTTCTGAATAAATAACATGGCGGCAGGCGGGGGGGTCATTAGGCTACTTCTCCATAAACTACATTTCACCTGAGGTAATGCAGCTTCAAACCCAGGCCAGGGCTACCTGCTCTTTAACAGGGCTATTTGGGACTCCCACAAAACCCAGGCCCCTCGCAGCAGCCTGGCACCAAGGAAGATTTCTACTTCACCTCACCCACCCTGCTTCTGGTTTGCTTGTTTTTCAGGCCTATACTTGTAAATGTGTAAGAAAACAAATCAAAAGAGGTAAAGCCTTGATTGGACTGCCTTCCTAACCCAAGCCAAGCGGAAAGAGAGCTAATCGATATTTAGTACTTTAGACATATTGGCCCTACGAAGGTAAACAATAGCAATAAAACAGAAAAGAATTATATTCATCTTCATTTTTATCATCACCATTATTATTATTATTATTAGGCTCTGGTTGATTATTGCTTTTCTTTAGGGCTTTCCAAATGGAGAATCTCATTCTGAGAACTAAATATAATTGCTCCATATCCCACCTCCCAAGAGCCCAACTAAAATCCAGCACCTAATTCAGAAAAGATCAACATTTTTTTGCAATGTGTTTTCAAGATTTTTATCTCACACACAAGCTAAGTTAAAATACCGATGTACATTTTTAAACTAATTGTTTTTAAAGGAAAAATAACTTGTAGAGGAGGATGTTAACTTTTTTTTTCCTTTTCGTGCCATAAAGCATTTACATGCAACTCTTTGCTTAGGATTTAAAGCAGTTTATTTTCGTTACACTCATCACACATACTTGCTACTGATATCAATGGGAGGTGAATATATGAAATAACAGTTGAAGCTAATATATACTCCTGTACATCAGTCTAATCAATAGGCTAAAGTATTGTCATAAAACTGATAGAAAAGTGTTATTTTCTGACAATCATTTGTCAACTCTATCAGTTGTTAACTTTCTGAACAAGGATTCACCATGAAATTTACAGCTTACATCTCGTCCATTCAAGTAAGCACTATCTTTACGTTTCCAAAGTAAGCTCTGGCTTGGGCTTGCTACCTCCTTTCAGGTAACGCCAGGATCCAGGGCTTGCTCCCACCTGCGGGTGTCTTATAACCCAGGCGCACACACTCGGAGTCCTCCCTCCACTCCTCCCAGGGCCGATATGGCACCCTGGAGAGAACACAACCCAAACACTAAAACTTTCTGGCAGCAAACTCTACTGTTCCTGCCCGCGATCAAAAGCGACAGGCCACTGGCTTTTGTTCCAGCGTTGCCCAGCTGGCGAGGTAACGCCACAGCAGTCCTCCATCCCGAAAGGTCAAGAGAGAGTCCGTGGGGCTGAGATTTTGAAGCCTCAAACCGAAGTCCATCCCGACGCAATCCATGCGTGTGGGGTGTACAAACACAAGAAAAGAGGGCGTGGAACAGGCAAGGATGACATTCTCAGTGCCTTTCAAATGCTACTTGAGTCTTAGGTTCACAAAGTGAGTCTCCCCATCCGTGGAAGGGAGCAAAGGGGGGGGGCGGAGCGGGAGAAGGCGCGGACCTGGAGAGAAATAGGTACCGGCAGGGCACGCGAGATACAGTCAAGATGCAGGTCCCGCCCCGCCTCCGGGTACAATCAGGAAAGCTACACTGTGTAAGTGGTTTTCAGCTTCCTGTTTGTAAAGCGAGAACCTCCCTCCCTGACTCTGTGACCGTCGTTCTTCCTCCAAACCGAGTCCGCCTCTTCTTCGCGCCCGGAGAAAGCTCGGCGGCACGGGGAGGTCGGGCCCGCGGGGCGGGGGCGGCATCGGGGGTGGGGGTAGGGCCGTGGGGCGTAGCGCCCCTCCCAGCCCCGCGGTCTCCCGGGCCAAGCCCGGCCGCAAGGCGGACAAAGCGCCTCCCGCTCCCTCCCCCACGGCCGCGTTCCAGAAGGGAGGGGGAAGGCGGGCTCGAGGGAGCGAGGAGGAGGAAGGGTGGGGGGAGAAGGTGCTGCCGGCGGGACTGGGCTGGATCGCGCCGTGGAGGGAGGGGAGAGGGGAGGGACTGGGCAGCCTCGGAGAACCGGGAGGAGGGAAGGATTCTTGAAGCCCAAGATAAACAAATTGTTCCTCTTCACGTGCAGGGTGGGGGAAAATGGAGAGGGTGGGGAAGGAGCGCAGCGGCCTCTCCTCTTCCCCTCCCCCAAGCAGGCTCTTTGTCACGGAGCGCCCGGCGAAAGCCCGCGCCGGCACCCGCACCACCCCCGGCGCCGACCACCCCCAGACTGGGGAGGCGCGCGATTTATAAACAGCACACCGAGAGGGCCTCCTGCGACGCGGATCGAGGTGCGGTCTGCGGGGGGAACGGGAGAAGCCGCGCGGCCCCTCCGCGCTCCCGGATTTCCACCGCCCGCCCCACCCCGCACACGCGCACAGCCCTAACCCGGGCAGCGCGGCGGGGAAAGGGGCCGCAGACACCTTCCCAAGCTTCCGGCTCCCTCTTCCCCCCGCCCCCCAACCCAGAAAGGAAAGCAAAAGAACCGGAGAGAGGAGATAAGAGAAAGGATTCTACCCTCAGGGTTAGGGGGTGGGAACTGCCCCTTCCTCCCGGAGGAGTTAAGCCATTGGCTGCTCCTCCTACTTCGAACCCACCCACCCAGCCATTTAAGCCTCTTTCACCTCCCCGCTACCTTCCACTCCTCCAGGCTTATCAGACGGGCCCGGAAAGTTGGCGGGGAGCAGGGCGGAAGAGAAGCAGAGAAAGCTCTGTGCAAGCAAGTTTAAGAGGAGGAGAGAAAAGAATCCCCACCGAAGTTGCTTGCGGGGACTCTCCGCGTAAGCCCAGGGCTTAGGTCTCCTCACCCGCCCCCACGAGCAGCTCCCCCCTCGGCCCTCTGGGCCGTTCCACCTGCCAGGCCAGCCCGGTGTCTCAAGAGGCGAGGGAGCGCACCCGCGCCCCGCATCGGCCTCGCGCGCACGCGTGCGCGCGCGCACCCACCCTCGCTTGCTTCTCACCCACTTCAAAGTTCATTCACAAAACTCTCAAGACTTTCTCAGCCCGAAGGGGGTGAGCTGGGGAGAGGAGGCGACAGCATCTCCCTTCCTCCTCCTCTCCCCCAGGGTTCGAAGACCTGGTGCCCGCCCAGAATCTGCGACAGCATCAATATCTCCCTGCACCCGGCAGATGTGCTGAGGGGTGGGCGAATGGGGGACGGGTCTGGGGGGTGGGGTGAGAGCGCTGAAGAGGAGGAGCGAGGTTTCAACTCTGGGTTCACTCTCTTTCAAATCGGTATCTAAGAAAGGGAGAGGGGGGAAACTTTTCCAGTGCCTCACACCGACGCTCTTCCAGGCTCCCTCCGCCCCTCGCAGTCGTGACTGGCTTCTCCCCCTCTCGCCCCCTCTTCCCCAAATCTGACAACCCTGACAGATTAACAGGTAGCGGCGACGGCAGCTTTTACCTCAGAAAAGTTGACGTTAACCCTTCGGCTTCAGCCCACCTCCCCCGCCGTGCAAATCAGATCCTCGTGCCCCCTTGTAAGAAGCTCCACGCCTCCCCCCGCCACGCGCGCGCCCCATGCCGCTGCCAGCGCGCCCTCACCATGATCAGCGTGTGGTTCCTCTGCTCCGCCGAGGCAGCCTCCGCATCTTGCTGGGGTTTGCTCTGGTGCTGTTGCTTCCCGGTGCCGGCACCCGATTTCTTGGCTCTCTGCTCCAAGGTCCGCTGATAGAGACTCACGGTGTCCCGGCGCTCCAGCTCCAGCTGCTCCACCTGAGCCTGCTGGTACCTGTTCTCGCAGTTGACGTGGTGTCGCCGACAGCCCTCGATGCGCTGGCGGAGCCGCTCCACCACCGTGCTGTGCTTGGGGACGGCCGCCGATCCGCCGCCGGGGCCCCCGGAGCCGCCGCCGCCGCAGCCGGCAGCGGGGTGATTGCTACTTGGAGCAGCGGGAGTACTATTGGGAGTATTATTCACACCGATCCCGGCCCCGCCGAGGCTGCTGTTCAGGCTACTGTTGATGCAAATACTACTGCCATTCGCGGCAGCAGCGGGGGCTGCGAAATCCCCCATCCTGCTCCCCGGGCACACTATTTTGGAAGAACTTTTTTTATCCACCCCCTATCAGCCTCCTCCTTGGGTCCAAGGATTAAAATAGTTTAAGTGGAACGCGGGGGAGACGCAAGCACATGGATGGAAACAGCGATCCCGACCGGGCGAAAAAAAAGGGGGGGAGAGATTTTGGGGTGGTTTTTTTTTTGTTTGTTTCCTTTTTTTAAACTGTAAAGCTCGAGGGGAAAAAAAGAGGGGGTGTTATCAGAATACCATCAGACACCTATCAACAAAAAGAATCACAACAAACTGAGCCAGCAGCAAATCGGGTTGCAACTCGAGGGGAGATCCGCTCTTCGCCTGCCTTCTTTTTATAATCCATTATTTTCTAATAAATTCCAGGAGATTTCCGGTGGTTGGCAAGCATTTTCTCCCTACGTACCGAAAAACACACCCCATGTACACACACAAGCATATGCCTCCAGTGAGGACACGCGCGACACACACTCACTCCACACCGCATCGGAAAACAGCAAGCTTGCTTATTGCATTTTCCTTCCACAAAAAAGTTTTGGTGTTTATGCCGCCCCGTGTTCTCAAAGTACTTTGGCTGCTCAGTTGCATTTCACAGGAACCTAGATATCGAATCCTCGGGCTGGGGGAAGTAAACACATGGACAGTCCGAGGCGACTGCAAAAGTAGATCGGTGAAGTCCTTTGCAAAACGCCGCGCAGAGAGCAGCCCCTAACGCTCGGCTGGGCTGCCGCTGCCGCCTCTGCTCCTGCCACCATCACAATGATCAACTGCTCGCCGCCGCCGCCGCCGCCGCCTCCTCCTCCTCCTCCTCCTCTCGCTCCTCCACCTCCTCCTCCTCCTCCATGCCAGCGGAGTGATATCAGGACGCGCGAGCTCAGTAAACACGGCAGCGGCGGCGGCTGGAGGCCGTGAGACAAGCCCGGGGACACGACACAAAACCCGGCCCGGACTCTCAGCCGGCAGGAGCGGGCGCGGCGCGCACGGGCATCCGACACCGGGCTCCCGCCTCCCTCCGCTCGCCTTCCCTGCCCCTCCCACGCCCCCAACCTAACTGCCAGACTGGGAAGCCGGCGCTGCCAGAAAAAAGAAAAAGAAATATTCTGGAGGATTTCGGGAATGAATCAACTTTTGGCGTGTGTGTGTGCGCGTGCGTGTGTGTGCGCGCGCGAACGGCCGCGTGGACGCGCCTGGCTGGATTTCCTTATTCCAAGCAAGGTATCAGGCGAGCCCAAGTTGTTGTTATACATTTATGCATCATATTGCAGAACTGTGCATGACCAGGCAGAAACATTGAAGCTTCACAGCAGTTGTCTATCATCCCTATCCATGTGGAAAGAAAAAGGCAAATGAGTGGCTTGTTTTAAAAACCCAGGTAATAAGTCCTAGCTAGTGATAACCCTGCTTACGGACACTTGTTCCAACTATAGGCCAGTCTTAAAACATAAATACCAAATCCCGAACAAAAATAAATAGGCAACAAAAAACTTGGAATATTAATTCACTGTACATAATGATTGTTGTTATTAGGGCAATTATTGTTTTACTTACCCTTGGAAAAAATTAAAATAAAGCAAGCGGGAACTTGGAGGTGAGACTAACAGTACATTTTAACAGACTGTTTTGAACACTAGGTGCTAATGACAGCAGTAATTAAGGGTCCTTCGTAAATCAAGTGGAAAGATTGCAGATTTCATGGACTAGAACTATAGGAAAACCACAGCATTTCACAGTTTGTCATAACCAAAACAAAAACAAGCAAAAATAAGGCTTACTTTCTTGCTAGATAATTTCTTTCTGCTTAAGTGAATTCACAGTAAGTACAATTAAAACGGAGTAGCAATCCCAGAAAGCAATCTAAACTTTGTCAATTTCCCAGATATTGAGTATCAAAAAAAATAAAAACCCACACTAACAAGAACTAAGGATCAAATATAACATCCTTGAATCTGGACTTAACCTATTGCATATACATAATTTTGAAAAAATTTATAATATAGAGTAAGAGCATTGCTGTGATCATCAGTAGGACAAAGTCTTAATTGTGAGCTGTTAATAATAAGGCATTTTGTATTATCTCAATAAATCTTATAGAATTAGTTTTTAGGGTAAAAATACACCCCAGTTTTCTAAAATAGCCAGAAATAAAAGAACTTTGGATCTCATGCATTAGTCATGAGATCTGATTTAAACCATCTTCATTTCTTGGCATTGCAGATTAGCATAGGATGCTATTTCTAACCTCATAATGTGAGCAATAAGAAGCTATATTTTTCTCCAATTAATCAGGTCTATATGGTGAACTGTATCTTTAATATTCATTGGATTATATGGTAAAATGGGCAGAAAATATTGATTAATGTGGTGTGAGGTTACCTCTAAGTAGTGAAACCAATGTGAGAGAGTATCTCTCACTGAAGTTGCCATACTTTTTCAGAGGGCTAGTTAGTTAACACACAACTTTGTATCATAACTGTCCCTCCTTCACGTCTGTTAGGAAATTAAACTGAGTTCTGTAGCAAAAAGGCAGTTCAGATTCTGAAAACAGAAAATTATAAGAAATTATAAGAAAAGACATCACAAAGTGGCCTTTGTCTGTTTCACATGTTCACTAAATAATATCTCTATTAATTCAGGAAACACATGGCTTCACTGCAGAGAGGAAGCTATGACTCTGCATTCACACTGCTCTTTCTTCACTAGAATTTTTCTTATTCCTACCTACATCACCCATACAAGCGTGCAATTTGATTTACAGAGGCAGCAAGTTTGAGGGTCTTGAGCATTGGGTCTTCAGTTTAGAGACTTGGGTTCCAATTCTAACTTTTTCCTATGCCTCAGAATTTAACTTTTCATTGAGAGTTTGTCATTCTGAAAAAAAAATTCAACAGTAGCAGCAACACACATTCCCATCAAGCTGTTTACCTCTCCTATCATGAAGGGAAGCCAAGAATACACGAAAATTTGCATCCTTCCCTTTGGGGGACCAGCAGATGGAGGAGCATACTTGTGGCTTTACCCCAGAGCTCCCCAAAGACAAGTGGAGCTATTCTTGCACAACCACAGTATAGTTTACTGCCCGAGTTTAGTGCATGAGTGGACTGACTAAACACAAAAGAATGGCTGACCGTTTATGGGTATAGGTACACACACACACACAGCACCCATCTTTTATCTCGTCAAGATGGTAAGAGTGGCAGCCACAAGCTCCAAGACCAAAATGTGGGAAAGGAAGGGCTGTGAAGCTGTGTAATGGCCCACTGGAGGGTGAGGGGTGAGTCTTTGAGGAAATTAACCTGTGCGGTAAGTACTCCTCTGTGACATACTTGAGGTCAGAAACCCCATCCTAATTGTGCAGGACGATTAGAAGAAAGAAGCAGGAAGTGAACAAGACTTGGGTCTTGAGCAATACAGGCAAGTTACCCTGAATTACAGATGTTTATCTACTCTGGTCACCTTAGAAAAAGCAGAGGCTTTTATACTGGCTACTTCTAGACTCTCCTATAAGGATATATATTCCTACAAGGTTGCCAGCTTTCTTCATCACCATACTAAAGAATTCTTTGAAAGTCATAGGTAAGTCCAAGATCTGGGGAAGCAATTTTGGTTCCTTCTCCCTACCGAGCACCCTGGTAGCATGACCATCTTGATCTTTTATATGCACCTGCTACAAAGCAAAGCTCTGGATGGGAGCTATAGACATGTCCTCAGTGCTGTTGCTCTAGAAAGGCAAAGAAATCTGAGATGCCATAGCAGTGACAAGAAAGAAATTACGTGGTTGCATCCCAAGACACTGATGATCTCTGCCTGGATGCCAAAGAGAAGAAGGGCTTGCAGAAGTCCCTGTGCCAGGTTGTGCTAAGGCTCTGGCTCTAAGCCAAAGCTGACAGTTCTAGGGAGCTGAACCAGATTCCCTTTTCTTTAGGCCAACTCTACATCATCCTCCCATGTCCTTCTGATAGGGCCCAGTGTCCCAGAGCTAAGAAAGAGGGCTTTGTGTAAAACTACTGTGTAAGTGCCGTTTCTGCATCCTTATTAACGTGGATCAATAGAGCTGGCTTCATAACTGTCCCCTAAAAGAATACTTGGTGACCAAGGTAGAGTAGGAACCCTCTTTTGCCCACCTACAGGTAAGCAGACCTTTTTATATTTGCCCAGAGTGGGCCCAGGAAGCCTTGAATTACTAGCAGCAGAGGGGAGTTTGCCCTCCACTACCTAGTAAGAGCTATCACTTCAGGAATTCCATGAAGAGAGTTGATGGCCTTCTGTGGGCCAGGCACTGTGGTAGGCACTGGGAATTCAACAGAACAGTGTATGGAACACCATCCCAACCTCAGGGATAGCCAACTCGATTCAGGGCGGTAGATACAGTGATGGGACTAATGAAGTGGGCCTGGGAACATGTAAATGGGGCCTCCAGGACATGCCTGGGGGGGTCTCCGCGGGCACTCTAAAAACTGGGCAGAAGTGAGCCAAGCAAAGGTGGGGGGCAGGTCCAAAGTGGGGAGCTAGGAGACAGTGAAGTAAAGCCCTGAGGCAAACCCACCAGGAGTTCCCTCTCACAGGGTCTCACGTGAGTGTGAGCGGATGTGATGAGAAATGAGGCTGGGGGAAAAGCAAGAGGCAGATCTCCCAGAAGCCTAGACTCTATCTTTGGGACAATGCTGCCATTGAAAGGATTCTAGCTGATGTCTACTTTTTACTCAGGCGATGCAGTGGTTATGTTATTTATACTGTTTTCTAGGGAGTGTTCTGAAGAACCCGGTCCTGTAAGAGGTTTCACCAGAAAGGCTTCTGAGCCAAATACGTTTAGGAGATGATCTGTACTGCATCTCTCTCTCGAAGATTCATTACCACGGTGAGGGCCACAAGAAATCTTGCAACCAAGCATGTTTAACTTTGTTTAACCTAGCGTTGCCAAAATCCTGTTCTGTCCCACAGAATGAAACACACTCTAAAAAGCTCTGTGTAGGAGAGAGTAAAAATTGAAGGCAGTTGTAAATCTATGTAAGTTCAAGACAATTGCCTGGACAGGCAGTCTGTGACAAAGACCACACTCCCCTTACCATCAGCTCTGCCAGAATCACTAGCACCTGGGGTTCAAGATCCTTCCCCAACCTTAACTGAATGTGTTGAATTCTGACCTTTAAGCAGGGGGGATGTAGCAACCCAGAGGCAAAAATCCCAGAAGGGTGAATCTGACCAGCATTTTTGAGTATTAGTACTCTGAGTTTGTCATGTTAATATCCATCTCTGTACAATAAAACCTCCTTATTAGGGGGAAAGGTCAGTCTTATTTAACTGAAAATCTTACTTATGTAATATCTTTAAAGATAGTTTCATAACTTTTGAAGCATTCATTCTTCCAGTCTAATCATTACTGGCCTCTTGGAGCTATTTTAATGCGCTCCTTCTACTTATTAAAAAAACCAATTGTATGCAGATGACAGCCCCGTAGGCAAGGGGTGTTTCGAAAGTTGGTTTCCTTAAGTATTTAAATATCCCTATCAAGACCCTGTTTACATGATTAATTTTCACTTTTTATTAAGAAGAGGTTTACTAAGCTGTAGGTCATGTCATAAATTTTGAGAGAAATATGAATTAATGGGTTTATTTTCTTATTTATATATTTTAAATATGTGTGTAATCATTTTATGGTTATCGGGAGAAAGGTTATCTAAAGTCCATGGCAGATAAATTCTTTAAAAGCTTTTTGTTCTGTTTCATGTATATGTACCTTTATTCTCAGGCTAAGTAAGTTGATGTAATAAAGCATCTGCCTTGAACAAGGTCTAGCTTCCATGTAAGATGTTGAAGACCTCTGAAATTTGGGGACAATCTTTATAAAATCTCTTATTTATTGAGGCCTACCAGCAGCCAAACCATTGACTTCAGAGACAATTATTTAACACATAACTGAAGAACTGAAAAACTGTACTTTTTTTGTTATAAACATTTACTGGTGATCAGCAATAGCCTCAGATATCATTTTAATGGTCAACGCTCAGTGAAAACTTGCTCTAGTCCAGGTTCTATTATTGGCCCCTACTTCACTGGTAAAGAACCTGAGGCACAGAAAGCTTACAGAACTTCCCCCAAGCCACAGATGCAAAGTGGCAGAGTCTGACCTTGAACCCAGGAGATCTGACCCCGGAGCACACGCTATTGAAGGAACATGACATGGAAGTAGGTTCCTAAGGTGCCTTCTTATTTTAAGGGTCTACATTTCTGTGAAACTAAGATCACTGCCTTTTATCCAGATATCACTTCAACTGAAGTCTGAGGCTGCTGCTGCAGTGTTTAGGAGGGCTTCAGCTCAGGAGTCATTCTTCCAGAAGCCAGGCCTCCCTCAGCCCCCATTCTGGGCTAGTCACCGTATCAGAGCTCTGAACCATGTGCGTTTCTCTGTCTTGGCACTTACATAATCACATTATGTTCTGTGTATTTACCTAGTTCTCACTTAGGTTTTATTGGTCTTTGGACGTAACCATGAGAGAGCTCCAGAACTGTGTCTGGGGAATGAGTAAATGAAAGAGTGAATGATTCTCAATTTCCCAAAGTTACAAAATGGGAAGGGAG